ACCATCTACAGGCCCTGTTTTGAAAGCATTATATAGTCACTTAATTATTTAATCATCACAACTATTATTATATCCATTATCCATTCTGCAGAAGAGACACAGGGAAGTAAAGGAATTCACCCAAGATCACAAAATAGAGAGTGGATCCAGGATTTAAGGTTAAGCACATCCTGGATCCAGAATCTATACCTTGACCCCTATGCAATGTTTCCTCCAAAAATAGAAGTCATAGTCATACTCTTCCACCTGACTTTTTAACATTTTATGCAAATTGTTTGGGTTCTTTATGCCTCTGTTTGCAGCTCTAAACAAGCAGGATAATATTTGCACAATCTTTCTCCTAAGAATGAAATAAGAGTAGCACTGGGAGAGGATTTTCAAAAAGTGAAGTAGATAATGGGTGTTTATTATACTCATTTATTATTATCTATGCTTTATAGAATAAATTAATATGATTTGAATCTAATCAATAAATTTAATAAGACCTATCTTTAAAGAAAAGTGTTATATACATTGGATTTGATTTCATCTCTGACAACAAGATATTAACAAAGAGACAAAAGACTTTATGAAATTATATGGATTCAGTATAATAGAGGTTAAAATTGAAATAAGAATCTAAAGCCATCTTGAAGAAAAATAAATTTTGAAATTCAGGCTTACTATGAAAAATTATCTATCATATATCCTCATTCAAAAATCAATTTATAAATGTAAAGACAAATAGAAAGAAAAAGCAAGGAAATACCATGACCAAAAAAATTTAAGAAAACTAAAATGATGAATATACTACCCCACGGTTACCTTGGTGTCTGAACATTCTTCACATAAGACGTGTCATTTTTAAAGGTTTCCAACTTGGAAGTCATATAGTAATTGCTAGGTAACCCAGATTATTAGAAGTACAGAGTCAAATTTAAGTATTCTTTTAACCATTCCTGCTAATTAACTTAAAATAAAGAAAATAAAAATGCTGAAGATGAGACAATAAAATRAAAAGCTTCCTGAGGAAGATTTTCTTTTTCCGCAGGGAAAAGCAAACAAGTTAATGAGGATGTGTCACTTAATCTTTAATGCCTAAGTTTCTCTGAGCCATGAGGACGAATGAATCAGTGTAGATCCTAAGCAAAGGTGCAGCTGGCCGCCTCCTCGGAAGGCCTTTGTCCCCGCATCTTGCTCTGTTCTTTTTCCCAAGAGAGAATGCTGAGGTGCTGTGTCCAGTTGTGTTAGGCTACTCAGCAAAGTCTTGTTACCTATCACGCTATTTAAAATTCCTATAAGGCAAAGAAGTTTGGAGTATTTTAAATGGTATGAATTCTTGACAAATGGAGTACGATTGTGTCAAAAGTGTAAGTTGCTAAACTACAAGAAGATGAGGTTTCCTGTAGTTTGTAGCCAAAGCACATCTCTGAGGCACGTCAACACTACTCAACCCAGTCTTGTTTATGAACCCCGTTAACATTTTTCTAGCTACACAATGCACAAGCAGCTGCTTTGTGAGTTTAATTTTAGAGAAAGAAGGAAACACTTATTGGAGCCTGGAAGATATAAAATGGCTTACTTCAGAAACACAGATAAATATAAAAAGAAGACTAAAAATGATGAAAGACAATTTGGTTTCCTCTAGGGTTACTGTTTCACTTGGGAGTCTGTGCAGTTATTTTCTTTATGAAGAACAAGTATCCTTCATTAACCCAGGGATATGTTTTAAAAAAGACATTTTGGTGTAGCATATAATATTTATTAATAAAAGATCAAACAACCCCATTAATTGGTGAGTGTAATCCATTTACATTGATAGTGATTATTGACATATTTCACTGAAGACTCATCTAAGACAGAAAGACTCAGAAAAGTATAAAATAAGAAGATATAAATTTAAAACACTAACAATATAATTGGCATTAATAATAGAAAAATATTCTTTGAAGTAATAAGTATTATTAGAGATAAATGAAGTCCTACACCATATTAAAATTATCAACTTTGTTAACATTTCTATAAGGGGAATTTTAAAAAACTAAAACTTGCATGCACTTATTAATATAACTGCAAAAATATTTTAAGGGGCTGGGGTTATAGCTCAGTGGTGGATCTCTTACCTCGMACATGTGAGGCACTGGGTTTGATCCTCAGCACCTCATAAAAATAAATAAAAGTATTGTGTCCATGTACAATGAAAAATTAAAAAATTAAACCAAAAAAAAAAAAAGATATTTTGGCCAGGAGGATTCTTTGTTTCTTGTTATATCAAAAGAGTTCTATTCCACCATGAGACTCTGAGAATTTTGTAATGAAGAAAGAGAGACTACCAAGTTTTATTAAATCAAATTGCTACTCATAMAGTTGATCCACGATTAGATATTTGTTTTGGTTTTAAAATGGCTTTGGCTTTTAAGTTATACCTCATTCATATTTATTTTTTGTTCTCTTGGGGCCATGATATTGGGATTACTTTTGAAATTGGGATCATGCATTCTATGGCCTGTTGCAGAGAGAACTCGTGTGTGTTTTTGTTTTTGGTGTTTTGTTTTATTCTGGTACAGGGCCTCACACATGAGCATTCTACTACTGAACTACATCCTCAACATTTTATTTTGTTTTATTTTGAGACAGAGTCTGAATTGCCCAGGCTGGCCTCCAACTTGCAATCCTTCTGCCTTCAGACAGAGAGCAGCTGGGATTGCAGGCATGCACCTGGAATATATGTGTATTTAACCAGTGTATATTAAAATAAGATTGAAGGACAGCATAAATTTCAGTGATTCCATGTATTTTCCATTTATTTTATTTCCAAAAGGAATTGAGTAGTGTTAAGTTTGACTTTCTGCTACCAAGCACAGCAGATTACGAATTGACCCTCTAAGTGAAGTTCCCTTGGTAGCCTCCTCGTAAGCACCAATGGAGACATATTTGAACACGGGGCCAGCTGAGCAAACTATGAGACCTCTAGCACTGCTATCCAAAATTTATGTTCTAATACATCAGTGCATCATACTGTGCAACAGAACTGCTCTTCTTTCTCTATATTTTCTGCATTTTTAATTTTAAAGAAAGAAATGGACAGATGAAATACTATGGGATCACTTCTATCTTCCCATCATAATATTTTATAAATCCATATAACTTCAATAATATGATCCACTTTTAAGAAAATCACAGCTGCTCTCTGTGCATTACACTCTTTCGCCTTCATTCCCAATCCACCCACCTTTAATGGTTTTTCCTCTACCTTGAACCAACTGATCTGCTTTCTTCCAAGACTCTCTATATTTTTCTTTTTTCCCCCTCCACTGGAGCTTGAACCCAGGGCTCTCTATCACTGAGCTATATCCCCAACCCTTTTTACTTTTATATTTTGAGATGGGGTCTTGTTATGTGGCTGAGGCTATCCTCAAACTTGTGGACCTCCTACCTGTCTCAGCYTCCCCAGTAGCTGGCATTACAGGTGTGTACAGCCACACCCAGTTTACTCACATTATTAGGACACTTAGTGAGTCCTAAACAGATCCAACAGCCATTTTTCTGAAGTTCTAATGAGAGTACAGTAGTCCTTCCATATCTTCAGGGGATATATTCTAAGACCCCCCCATAGATGCCTAAAACCGTGGAGAGTACAAAACGTATGTATACTCTTTTCTATACATATATATCTATGATAAAGTTTGATTTATCAATTAGGCACATTAAGAATATCAGCAACATCAATAATAAAAYAAAATGATAACAATACACTATAATAAAATTTATTTGAAAAATATAAAATAAAACAATTATAACAAATACTATAATAAAATGTATTTGAAATTTATGAATTGCTTATTTCTGGAATTTTTCACTTAAACATTTTCAGACAGTAGTTGACCATGGGTACCTAAAACTACAGAAAATGAAACTGAATCCGGGTGGAGGGGACAAATGTAGCTTATTTTGTTCTTAAGTATGTATAAGGATATGCTCCATTGTGAATTAAGCCCTTTTGGTGACAGAGTAGATAATGTCAAAACCCCATCAGCCTTATCAGGAGAAGTTCCCTGACCTCATTATTGCTAATGGATCCACAGTAACTCAGCCTGTTGTGAAATCTCATGTTCAATTATGCAGGATAATGAGTGAGTCAAAACTTAATATGTCTCCACTATCGTCCTTCTGATAGGGCTAACCTAGCTTCTTTCAAAAGCCAAGCAAGGTTTTAAGTGGAGTTGTTCACTTTTATGTCCCAAAAAAGGTTATCATCAGTATTCAGACTGTCCTAATTTTATAATCTGATTTGATTTTTAAATGAGAAAGGATTGTTCTATAACTTTATATTTCACTAATCCTTTTGTAGGAAACTTCGGACAGGTTTATTCATTTTTAAGTGTTAATTTTGGAATTCCAAAAGCATGCAAATGGCATTTGTCTTTGGATTCACAAAAACTCTAGATATTCAGAGTTTGAATTATTTAAACTCCCACAACACATGCACTTTTGCTTTTCAAGCATGAGTTATAATTTAATTAAAAACTTCTGGTGCATTGCTAGCATTTTAAATATTAATATGTTCCATGGATCACTTTCGATTATCTACCGTCTTGAAATTCTTGAAGATGTCAGATTTTTAAGATTCCCAAAGTTGCACTTGGAATTGTCTGTTGAGGCAAAGGGGACTGTGATAATTACACACATCCATTAGGATCGGCAGAGGAGATAAACTTTGGGGAGGCTTAATGGGCATGTCTCAGTGACAGCTAGCAAAGAGCATTTGGCATGATTAAGGATGGATTTGAATGCAGTTGAAAATATACTCTCATTATGGACACCCAGTGGAAGTTGCACTACAAATGTTAAATTCCCCAGAAGAAGTGTGGTGTGGCAGGGAAGCTTTGAAATCCATTGTGGCCATCATCCAAATTATTCCCTTTCCTTTATGTCTTTCTGCTGTCAGAATCATTTTGTGACGCCCAGTTCAACTCCCTACATCTCTGAAAAGAGGCAACCTGTTGATCTCTGTATTTCAGATTGTCCGACGATACATCAAGGATTGGCTTGAAAGAAAGAAGCCTCCTTTTGGTGCCATCAGCAGCAGTGTGCTCCTCATGATCATCTACACCACATTCTGTGACACGTTCTCAAACCCACACATTGACCTGGATAAGTTCAGCCTTGTTCTCATACTGTTCATAAGTAAGTTGGAAGATGGGTCCCTGGCTGTCCTGCAGTAGCAATGTGAAGCCATCAGTATTCTCTAAATTCATCTCTCGTGTTGATTTGATTAAATACTTAGTTTATGTCTGTTTGGTGACTTTATCATTTGTATTTGTTCTTTGGAAAGACATCAGTTATGCACTTATAATCTTAATCTCCTTTACTTTTTATGTCCCTTCATCATTTTCTGATTTATAATACTTGATATTAGATGGAAAATGCCTTGATGTCTTTTAAATTCTAATATTAGGTTGAGCATTTTGTCACCAATTCAATTTATTATAAGTTTGAACAGATCGTATTCCTTATTGTGATTTAAAAGCAGGATTTATAATATATGATAATATTTTTATATGTATAATAATTTGCCTTCATCAGCTAAAATTTGAATATTCACATCATTATTTGCTAATAAGATATACCAAAACAATATTTCATTTTAAAGAGCAATATACTATAAAATGCCAGTAACTTCTACGGCTCATAAAACAATCTTTTGTTCTATTTATACTAACATGAAAGATGTTATTAATATTATAGTATCAAATAATCTGTTCTTCTTAAGAATCAAGATGAGTTATTCCAAAGTACGTATTAAATGGTACCACTTTTGTGTTATTTGCTATACATACATATAGTATAAACCAGCTTTTTCTAAATTGAACAAATCAAAGAGGGTTTTAGATTTCCCCTAAGTAGTGGATGTCATAACTTGTGTCTATTGTTAGATATTGTTAATAAGAACAGGTCCTACTCATTGGAATGAGTCTATCAATTTAGAATATACATTTGTTTGTTTTTTTCCACTTGTTTTTCTATTTGAGTTCCCTTAATTTTCAGATAAAATGCATATAGTAAATGTGCTACAGATACTGCTTTTATGTTGCTAATTTATATTGAATCTTTTTTCTTCTTTTGTCTTCAGTAGTCTCTATTCAGCTGAGTTTCATGCTCTTAACTTTCATCTTTTCAACAAGGTAAGTGACTTGGTGTCTCTTGATTTTAGTCTCCTAAGGAAGGAGTAAAGCTCTTATTTGGCTACTGTGCCACTGTACTGTCCTAGTTTTCCTCCTGTCTCCTGGCCACTGTTTCTCACTCCTCCTTTCTTACCCTCGAGTTGTAGACTTTGTCAAAGGATCTGCCCTGGACGCTGTTCCATCTGTCCACATCATGTGCTTGGGCAGCCTTCTCCACTTTCCTGGCCTGAGCCATCAGCTTCATGCCGATGACTCCAAGTCTAGACCTGCTGTTCTCAAGTTCTGTGCTATTGTTTTCCCTGCCAGTTGTATCTCTTCCCCTGATTGTCTTAACAAGACCTTAGACTCCAGATATTCAAAATGGAATTAACCTTTTCCCCCTAAATTTCTTCTTATTTCTTCACTTACCACTATCCTCAGAGTTACCCAGACTGGAATCCTTCACATAATCATTTTGTAAATGTCTTGACCCTGCTCCCAAAGCTACTTCTCTCACTGGGGCGCTTGATGTCTCCTTTTCATCTCATCTATTGCAATGCATATCTTGCTCGTAGCTCCATTTCTAGGTTCAAAGTTTCTTATGCTTTTTATACCACTTCCACTGACTCAAAGTGTACTCATCACTCTCTTGATCAGATATCTTCTATTAGTCAGTGCCTACAGAATGATGTCTATTTTTTAAGTGCAAGACCATCTAGTCTAATTACCAGTCTCATGAATTGCCAAAAGTGCCCATGCTCCCTAAGCTTTATGTTGAAGTAAAAATATTTGCTATTTCCTGGAAGAACCCTGCCTTCTCATTTCCATTTTTTTCTTTGAGCTATCCACACATCCAAATTGGCCATCATATCCAATTTCATCTTTTACGTTCCTAAATGCAGCTTCTTCCACTATATTATTCACTCAACAGGTATTACCTAAGCCTTTAGTTTGAGAAAGTTAGCATAGTAAATGCCATAAATAAGAGGTGAWTCTGATCCTGCATGAATTTTCAGACTAAATATGTATACTGACAAGTAAGTGTCCTCTGAGCTGTACAGTAAGCCAACCTGTAGTCCATTCAAAGAAGGCAGCACTTCCAAAGGGAATGGTAGAGCCAGGCTTCATGAGAGATGCAGTTTGACGTGAGTCATAAAGAAAGGCTAATTGTTCAGCAGAGTGGAAGACAGGTGGTTCTCATGGGAGCAAAAGCAATAATACATAAATGAATACACAAAAACAACACAGGATAGGATCGGGTGGCAGGCACAGAGGAAGATCAGAAGGAAAGACAGTCACTGGAAAGGCGGACCTGAGCCCAACTGCAGGGCTCTTGAACTGCAAGCGCCAGCCATGAGCTACCACAAGGGCAGCCTCCCAGGCTGTTTATGAGGCTTGAAATAGTATCAGGGCCATGGACAGGTGGGTTCAGGCCTCACATTAGGCACTTGGCTCGTACAGCACTTAGATAGCACTAGGCTGATTGTAAACAGTCGATAAAAAGTATTGATTAAGTAATTTAAAGCATTTTCGCAAGCTTGAGTTGTGATTTATGAAGTAAGAATAAAGCCTGGAGCCCTTAAGTCACAGAGAAAATGTTACTTAATTGGGTAAGTCTGAGAGTAGGAGCTATTTTAAAGTTCTTTTTGTGAATGGCTTGTTATGTCACCCTAGAAAAGGCGTTTGCCTTTCTGTGACTGTTCGCTGGTCCTTGTGGCAGAAGTAATAATCAGGCCAGGTCGTCCTACCCGATTATGTAGGAGGCAGATATCCTGTTGGTAACGTAGAAATTCCATGAAAAGATAGAGCATGGAGCAGCCACCACCGGGATTACTGAAGGAAATAGGGGGACGAGGGAAGCGTCACAAATAAAATAGTTGAATTAAACAGTTGTTAAAAATAACAATTTTTAGCATGCAGTAGACTGAGCTTTCCTGAGAACCTCAGTTTTGATATTTATTTGTTTGTTTGTTTGTTTATATCAGGGATTGAACCCAGGGACACCTAACCACTGAGGCACATCCCCGTATTTAGAGACAAGGTCTCACGAGGTTGCTGAGAGCCTGCTAAATTGCTGAGGCTGCCTTTGAACTTGTGATGCTCCTGCCTCAGCCTCCCAAGCTGCTGGGATGACAGGCGTGCACCACCACACCCAGCTGAGATCCTTCTTTTCTGCCTTATTCTCCCTTCCATGAAATTCTGTCATGCTTTGTCCCTCCTTGACCCACAGGCAGACATGGATTCTTTGATAAAACATAGAATATGGAAAAGCTGTAAACATGTTCCACAGTAATGGTGGTGTAGCCCCCCACTTTTTTTAAAAGTCCATTAAAAATTGAGGATTTTTTTAAAGGGACATAATTTAGAAGATGGTTTTGTGCTCTGTTTTCTCACTGAGAGACCCCATAGTGCCGCAGAATTTTATTGGAGGAACGTAGGATACCTACTCCATACCAGGCACTGTCCTAGGGATTGTGCACATAAGTCTGACAGCAAGACTGTAATATTATGCATTTTCTTGCTCTTTTGTAGATGAAGACCCATCCTTAGAGTAACTTGCCTCAAATCATATCTTAATAGCTTAATAATTTACCCCAAATCAAAGAGTAGCACGCCCAGGACCGAAATCCATTTCAACTTGACACTTGCTAAAGCATTTGCCAAGCTCATTTCCACTGCTTTAAACTATTTTTATTACTTTTAAACTCAATGCTTGCTTTAGAGAATTTGTAAGGACTGTTTAACTGAACTCTACAAGTTTATACACCTTACAAACAAGTTTGTGAAAGATACCAAGGATATGAATGAGAATCTACTGGTTTTTGCTGAGTTCCATTTTCTTCTCATTGAAATGGGTGAAATTGGGGTGTGTGTGTGTGTGTGTGTGTGTGTGTTTTCATTTTTTCCTTACCAAGCCAATAAATCTAAAATCAATTTGGGTATCAAAAGATAAAAATCTCAACACAAAAATCAGTCTTCTGTAGTGTGGCATGCTACCGCATTCTGATGATGGAAATTTAGTAGTGTAAAACCAGGAGAAACCCAGCCCAGGAAATTCAACTTTGCTGCCACACTCTGCTTCCCTGGTAAGCATTTCTTAGATTTACTGACTGCTGTGATACCATTGTAGTGAGTATTTAAAACAGACTTGAGAGTCATTTATCTGTCTACAGAACAGTATCAAGGGTTCAAAACTCCAAAACTAGAGCCAGAGTTGGGTTTCAACCCTATTTAATGCCTTTGTAACTTTACAGTTTTCTTGTGTATAAAATGAAGACAGGAGTAGTACCTATCTCAGGAACATTTGGAGAATTAAATAATAAGCACATAAAGCCTTCAGTATTATTCCTAACATATAGTAAGTGTTCAATAAATGTCAGCTAGGATATTTATCATATCAAAATAGTTTTATATTATATCAAAAACTAATGATAAAAARAGAGTGAATTTTCTGGCTTTACTATATTGTAATATATCACATATTTCTTTTCTCTGTCCAGTTGTTAGGAAATGAGAATGAGCAAGCTATCCATAGTGATRTAGGCTTTCTGCAACTTGGGGAATTGTCAGTCAAAAAAAAAAAAAGTGAGAAATTTTAGGAAAACAAAATAATGATTAGGAATCTTTTTAAAAATATAAGAACATTTGGTAGACTGATAACTAGAGTAACAGAAACCTGGAATCAGTCGTGACAAAAGARCCCCTTAGAACAGGAAAAGGAGGAAAACAAACATTGAAATAGTTCTGTAGGTATACTAATTTTTTCCAGTACATTTCCAGACAGAAGTATCAGTGGGCCTTACCCCACAGTCCCTAGAGGAGAAGGTGGGCAAGGAGGACAGGCTTTATTATTAGAGGCAATTCTTCTTACCATTTCGGAGATGAGGACACTAAACCTTGGAGCTCCGGGTAACTTGTTTTGCGCCACACACTCATGACAGTCTTCTGAAATCAACCAAAGATAAGACACTGTTACAGAGGTTAACAAAGGAACCACCTCGCATGGACGTTTCCATGTCTAAAAACAGTGGGTTTTGACAGAACTCTCCCAAAGGACCTTTTCTGCTCCACATTCTGTGATTCTGCTAGTAAAACCTGACACGTTTTCCTTTGTGGATACTGCAAAGGAAGGCAAAATAAATATTATGTGGAAAACACTGATTGAAAGCTTTGCAAGAGAGAACAAAAAGACCAGTTGGGAAGAAAAGGAAATAAACATCTCAGGGGAAGCCAAAGTGATCAAAAGAATGATGAAAACAGGATAAAAAGAAAATCAATATTAAAAAGAGATAAGGTAGAGTTAGAAAATAAATAGTAATGTGACTCCTTTCAAGAATGTGAGCAGACACAATAGAGATGTTCATCCCTGGAATAGATTATGGTCGTCACTACTTAAATTTAATGTACAGGACCCTTGGTTTTTTTGAGTATTGTCATGACCTATGTCATGAAGCCACCGTGACAGTATGGCAGAGGGTAGATGACTAACCAAGAGAGCTGCCCTTGTTCATTAAACTTGTATTCTCCTTTTTTTTTTTTTCCTGAGTAGGCAAACTGACTTCCAGAATTTGGACCAGCCCACTTCCTAGTTGTGACTTTAGGGAATCTGCTTAACCTCTGTGCTTCAGGTTCTCCTTTTGGAAAAAGCAAGGCCATAATATTATCTAACATCTAAGGCTAGATAATATTATGGAAGAAATATTGGAGGCAAAGTGCTTAGAGAAGTAGTCAGTAAGGTTCACTGATGTGGTCACTCATTATGAATGAAAAGCCACACCATTATGAATGAAAGCATCCACTCTCGGAGCTGCACTGTATAGCTGGAGTTCAAGTCTGCCCTGTAATGAGGAATAAGGTATAAACCATGAGCATCTGTTTTATTACCCTGTGGCCCTTATCCTCCCCTCCCCACTGTGGGAGTTTGTGTCAACAGAACCATAGAGTCATGTTCATTTCCCATAAGCCAGAAATGTCCCAGCCTGGACCTAGGCTCAGTCTTCTTACCTGAAACAGGACAAGTGATCTTCTCTGCAAATCTCTTAAGCCACATTTAAGTGCTACTGTAGTAATTGGCAGCCAGTGTCAGACCAGTACCTCCTTGGCCAGAGACTTTGACACACTGGAAATGTGCAGTGATCTGGACAGGAGTGAATATGAATCAGAATAAAGTGCACCAAAGGAAAAGTATACTGTCAGACTCTCCCAGAAGAAAACCAATATGTATAATGATTGGTTATAAATAAGGTCAGCCAAAGACTGGAAGGTCTTAGTGTTACCAACACCAGTGCACTTTGGGGAGCATCCCAGACGAGGCTTCCTGCCTGTGTGCATGTTCTACAGCCACAGGCGGACACCGGCCCTGCAGGGAAGTTCATTATTCATTGTGAATTGACTGTAGGTCTTATGCTCCAATCTGCCTGTTTCAAGCTTTTCTAATTTCTTCAGGTCCCAGGCCTCGGTAACCTCACACTCTGTGGAGGTGTGAAGTGCCTCTCACTTTATAAAGAAAGTAAAAGCCTAGAYATAAGTTTTCCTAGCTTTCCCATTCTCCACCTGAACACTGTTCATATTTTTAAAAAATATTACTGATATATTATTATTATATATAATAGTGGGTTTCATTGTAACTATTCCTACATGCACTTAACCTAGTTTGTTCAATTTCATTCCCCAGCACCTGCCCTCTCCCTCCCTCCCCTGGTACTCTTCCTCTACTTTTCACCCACTCTGTCTACTTTTGCTTTCAGCTCAGAGACTATAGGAAACTCCCGTCTCCAGCTTACCCCTCCAGTCCTGTCTCAGGCCCTCTTTGGGGACTTGGAGTCATCAGTTAGTTCTCTCTACTGTACCTTCACTCTCTCTGTGTATACTTCTGTTTATATTTCCCAAAATCCTTTTCTTCTCTTTGCCAGATTTCTTGAAAACACAGTCCCTCTCACTACCACACACCCAGCACCCTCAACATTCRCTCCTTGGCCTTCTCCCCAAACCCCACAAGGTCTCTCTTGCATTAAAACCTTAATCTCAGTCCTGGATGTGCAAAGTTTCTAACATCTCTTTAATTTCTCCTCTTTCCAAACAATATAAAGTAGAAATATCAATCAGCGTTATTAAATACTTTTAATGTGTCAGATTCCTAACAAATATTGGTTTTCATCTACACAAAGGTCCTAAGAGGCAGGTAGTATTATTCTCATTTTATATATAAGCAAAAGGATGGTCTGGATTTAAAATCAGGTTTGCTTGCACCCAGAGCATGTGCTGCTCCCAAGCTGTTGGAAGGGAACGTTGACAAGGTCAATTCATCTTATTCTGAGTCTCTTAGCACTATCTCCTGCTCTTATCCAGGCCCTTCTAGCTCCCGCTTCCTGCATGGCCTCACCAACTTCAGTCTTATACCATACTGGCTGCTTACTTTTGTATGGTTTTTTTTTTTGGCGGGGGGGGGGGGGGCTGGAGATTGAACCCAGGTGTGCTTAATCACTGAGCCCTGTCCCCAGCCCTTTTTATTTTTTTATCTTGAGCCAGGGTTTCCTGAGTTGCTTAGGGCCTTACTTGTTAAGCGCATCTCTGATCCTATCCTCCACTGTCCCAGGTTCCTCACTGGCTCCCCTCATCCCATCTTACCAAGTCCCCACTCCTGGTCACAAGGCAGGCTGAAGAACCTGCTGTTGGCTAGCTGTCCCCTGCACTCCTGTACTGCAGTATCACCACCCCCTGCCTCTTAAAGGGTTCTCTGTGTACTCCATCAGCATCCTCCACTCCCTGCCAAGCTAGAGTGGCCCTTTCCACAATTCCCTCTCTCACACATACCCCACTCTTTTCTCCCTCTTTTATATAAAGTATTCATTCTACTTTCATCTCTCAGTCCATTCATTTACAGAATTACAGAGGTCCTTCCCCATTAGAGCTGCCATGCAGAATAAAGGGGAAGGAAATGTGTCAGTCATGTAGCACAATGTTTAAAAAGTTAAGAGTGGATCACCATATGCACAGGCGAGTCAAATGTGGAAACAAAGCAGTCTTACTGTCCTCGGGTGGTACTCATCTGTGGGGAATCCTCAACTGCGGCGAGATCCCAAAACTCCAGTCAATGTCAAGAAAGAGCTGGAAGGAAGTCTAGCTAGGAAACAGAAATGTGCATGTGTTCTCAGAGGAGAGGAGATCAAGGGCCATTTAAATATTCTCTTAACACCTGCACATGGAACGAGGGAGAGGAGAGGGCTCTTCTTCCCTCCTGTAAACATTTGACAAAGAAAACAGGAAGTGGGATTTTTTAGAGATTTTTCTAAATAGTTAAGATTTTTCTCCAGCAAAAGTTATACATGGGGATGAGGAGACTAAGGGAAATGTGGATTCTTTCATTAGAAATCCTTAAAGATCAGGTAGAGGGCTAAATGTGCTACTGTAAAAAGTCCGTTTCTGAACATTTTTCTATGAGCAGACTTTTGTCAGAATTCGAGGAGTAGGGGGGTGATGAATAAATAAACTCATTATATCATTCAAAGCCTAACTTTCCAGGAAGGAAGAGTTTCTAAAATATAAGGCTACAATACTAATAATAGTCACGTCTAACCTTTTTGGCTTGTGTTCTCTACACCTTACATTCTAGCATAAGAAATTTGATTATGATATTTAACCCATAGCACTGGCCCCTCGTAACAGGCAACCAGTTTTGACAAGTAAAAATTGTTTTTAACCGATTGTATAACGATAGTAGAACATAGTAGTTGAGAGCACAGGCATATGAGCTAGACTTGACTTAAATCCCAGCTCTGTCACTAGCAGGGCCCTGATAAAGTGACACGCCTTCTCTGTGCCTCAGTTTTCTCATCTGTAAATAGGGATATGATATCTCCTACCTTTTGGGGTTATACACATGCAAAGACCTTTGAGAAGTACCTAATCCCCACCCCAGCAACTTGGAAGAATTAATATATCTGAAAATGCTTCTCCAGAAACAGTATATCTTCATGGCAGCAAACACACATTTAACATCATATTTTGGTAAGAAAAAAATTTTTTTTTCTTCCAAACTGCTGGATAATGTCAAGTGGCAATCTAAAGATTTATCTAGAAGAGATCCTTGCTACATTGTTTTCATAAAGCCCGATACCAATAGCTAGATACACATGTGATCTTAGGTGACCCCCACACCACGTATTATTAAGGCTGTTTTCTTTTCAACGGATAAGTGTCTCAGAAGTGGTTCTCTAAAAAGAAATTTAGATAGTTCTGTACATTTCAATCTAGAGTTACTTCCGTCACCAAGATTGTTTGAGGGATGTCAACATGAAGGTAGATACTACATTTGATTTAGGATGTTTTAAATAATATTTTATGCAAATATTTTAATAAAAAACCTTTTTCTTGCTTCTAGGAATAATTCAGGTTTCACACCAGCAGACACAGTGGCTATCATTTTCTGTTCTACACACAAATCCCTCACATTAGGTAAGTGATCCTCAGAGCTAAAACGGTGTATTACCCTCACAGAGTTGCATCTTAAGATATTAAAACTCATACAGAACTCTTCAAATTGAGAGAAATAAGGCATTGTCCATTCTTAGATCAAGAGTATTAATGAAGTGAAGATAGCCATTCTCTGAGATACTGACATTTGATCAACCAATCTCTGAAGGCCTACAGTTAATACTGTCAGGGATTTAGCTTCATTTGTAATCATGTATTAATTCTCATAAAAGTTGATAATGTAGATTGTTAACAGTAGAGTTGGGGGTGGGGTGGGAGTGGAAGTCTGCTGGGACTGTTTCTAAAAAGGGGATTACAAAAAATTCCCTTTGGAAGATTCCAGAGTTGCCCCTGGAAAATGTTAACTTCTTTATTAGGAGCTCAAAGCAAGGTAGGAAAAAATGTTATTCTCTTAATTCAATATTCACATCAGCTTGAAATTCATTTTGAAATATTATGTTGTTTTCTATAGAGAGAAACAGTGTAGTGATCTAATATTTACTCAGTCAAATTAGCACTAAGAGTGAAATAAGTATTTGTTTAACGGACAAAAACAAATTAAGAAGAAAAGTGCTATTTTCTGCTTAGCTTTATCCAATTTAGTGCAGTTATTCCAATAACCTCTTAGACACCCAGAATCTATGTTTTTAGTCATTAAAAGTCATTAAGTAATCAGAAACTTTATTGAAATATACATCATACACAAACTCCTTGGGGTGGTAGGCATTTTGTGGCAAAAACTCATATTAAAAATTCCTCTGCATTTTGGCTTCTGACTCACTTAAGAAAATGACATCACTAAAAGAAAGTCCAACTGTAAACTAAAAAGTAAAGAATTTTCAGAATGTTTTTTATTAGTCCTAAATGTATTTGCCTGATAGAATCTTTATCAGTCTTACCAAATTTGGAAATGGTTTAAAAATTGGATTAACCCTTTAAAGACCTCAAAGAACTCACCCCATATACTCCCATGTGTGTTTTTGTGGATGCCATGTCTGGTGTTCTGAGTCTTCCACAAATTAAGGGGCTTATATAAAGAAAGGGATTGCAGAGGTGGTGAAGAGTCCAGGGATCAGATGATCCTAGGTCCTCAGAGCACCCACTGTACCATGGTTGGCCAGTGCGTTCCTGCAAAGGGCTTTTAAACCTAACCCCCTCTTAGGGATTCGCTTTTGACAGTAAAACCAAAGTGGATGATTTAGGGTTTCTCCATGATGTTCTTCTGTGCTGCTAATACTTGATATGCTGAAGAGAGGCAGGAAGCATACCCAAGATGCATACTACAGTGTGATCAGTTTTCTTTGTTTTATTGTGAGAGCAAAACTATCCATTCAATCCATTTTTTTTCTTTTTGTCTTCATTTTTCTTAATCCCAAAGCTATATACTCTTCCTCCTTCTGCTTTCTGATATCTCATTTGCAGACAAGCAGGTAGGTGCTCTGAAACCAGATCAAAAGTGGGGTTTTTTTTTTTGCTAAAAGGAGTTGGGTAAACCTGGACTTTTGTTTGATTTTGCAGTTTTCTCCCATAAAACAGGTATTTAGATCCTCCAATATGGTACTCCAATAAACTATTGTGGTATCTGTAGCCACGTAGTATAAATCCTGGGTTTCTTTCAGCATGACAGATTTAAAGTCTCTTGAACTGTAAGACCTAGATACTTGATCTGGTCTCAGGTTCCTTAGCAGTAAGATTAGGGAATTTTATTTTCAGCTTGATTATCCTGCCATACCTTGATCACACCTGCCTTCCCTCCTCTAGTCTCCTTGGTAGCATTTATGAAAAATGGCCTCTTTGTTGTTCCTCTTGTCTCAGAGAGATGATCCTTATTTCCACTTATATCAATGGATAGTTGGATGCAGTTTCTAGAAGAAGTTTATAATTTTACTAGAATTTATTAGAATTTATAATTTTACTATGTCCATTTTCACAAGATACAATGCACATTTTCCTCTTCTGGGGACCTGATGTCACTGATACAGAGGACTGACCTGAGCTACAGGCTGATAATTATCATCCTAAGGGAAATTCTTCTTTGCGTGGAATTGTAAGAACATCACATTGAGTGTGAAAAATTCATATTCCCCAAAGTAGGGAAAATTTTCAAGTAATATGACTCAGTGCTATTTTCTCTCAGATCTCAATACAAAGGTGAAATACAACAGATAATAATGTAGTTTCTGTGCACTTTAAAAACGAACCTTTCCATTCTGCAATCGCTGCCATAGTATTTCTACTAATGATTTTACATCTACACATGCACTTATGTACACACATATACACATCCAAATAGAATACATGAAGCAAGCTTATAAAATACTATTTATTATTACATCCAATATTTATATATAAAAATAAATCATTGTAAACCAAGTGGTACTCATATAACTAATAAACCAAAGATGAAAACTCTTGCTTAAGAAGCTTTCTGAATATTCTCTTGTGCATACACCTTCAGTTTACTTTATTGTTCTTGCTTCTGCCCTGTCCCAATCCCTTCCACATACTTGCATCTACACACATGCTGAATTTGATTCATTGCTTTTATTAGTGCATTTGCCATTGATTGATTAGTTCTTCGTATTAGTACTTTTTCTATTGATTGATTGCAGATGAAGTGACTATTTGACCTTTAATTATGAGGCTTCCTATTGAAAATGACATTGAGCTATGGCTTCACATAATCCATCTGGAAAGCCTGACATGATGCCATTCCCTGGAGTTCGTTCAGTAAGAAAGAGGAGGCCTGAAGGAAGTGCAGAGCTATCACTGTGCTTCATCTAAAACAATACTACAGGGCTTGTTTGCTGCGCTCCTATAGTTTCAACTCAGGGTTGGAGGCAATTTTATATTTTGTCAAGACAGCATCACTTGCTGTGGGTTGCCATAGAAGCCACGAACTCTCCCAAATTATTCTCTAGTTTGATGGTGATATTTGTACAATAGCAAGAAGATATTATATGTGGTAGAGATGGAAAAACAGCTTGCACCCTGGTTAAGAATGGCTCGGTGCACAGTCAGTCAATAGATTTCATTAAGAAAGAAATTACATCCCAGATATCCCATGGAATTGGTGTTCTACTTATCTATCGTTTTCTCTTGAGTATTTAAATCGTTTTGCTTAGAGTTTCAACATATGTAGAAATTTTTCTCACTACACCTAGAAAGAGACTGTTTCAGGATGTTTGAGGTTCTTAAGTCAAGCATATGTTTATGTTAGTTTTCAAATTTTTTTTAAAGAGAGAGGGAGAGAGAGAGAGAATTTTTTTAATATTTATTTTTCAGTTCTCGGCGGACACAACATCTTTGTTTGTATGTGGTGCTGAGGACCGAACCCGGACTGCGCGCATGCCAGGCGAGCGTGCTACCGCTTGAGCCACATTCCCAGCCCCAGTTTTCAATGTTTTTTGAATAGCAAAATGAAAGTACACAAGACTATTGACAGCCAATTATATATTGCCAGTTTTTTGTTATTTGCAAATGCATTTCGAAATTCAATGCATGCAATTTCAATTCCAGAATGTCATGAGATTTACTAAATGTTCAATACGTGTCCCATCCACCCCCAGTGCTAGGGGTTAAACCCAGGGTGCTCTATTACTGAGCTACAGCCCCAGGACTTTTTTTTTTTCCACTTTTTAAAATAGTTTATTTTGATACAGAGTCTTGCAATAAAACTATTGCTCAGGCTGGCCTCAAATTTGTAGTCTTCCTGCTTCAGCCTACTGAGTTGTAGGATGGCAGGCATGTACTTCCCCACCAGCTGTCCTGGCTTTTCTGGACATGTGTACAAAGGCAAATTAAGGTAGCTATTCCTCATGTCTATACTTCATTGTGGGTCTGTGGTCACACTTACATGGCTGACAAGAAACTATGCATTATGCTAAAAGCATGTAGCATTTTTGTTGACATATGATTCAGGCAAGAGTGGAAAGAACACAACCTGATTCTAGCCTGTGTTCCAGTTCCTGTCCTTTCACAACAGCTGGAACAAACCACTGAACTGCTGTTGGTCTCATTTACCCATCTGTACTATGAGAAGATGGGCAAAATGACACTTTCTTCCAGGTTTAAGTTTCTGTGAGTCTACAATTGATATTTCTGTCCTATGAAATAACATTTCTCTGTATTCAAAGGAAAGGAACTCTTGAAAGGAATAGTTCTGTAAATAGTGTCACAGGAAAGGAAATATGGCTGGTGCTACTTCCTACATAGGTCAAAACATATCTGCACTCTCCAAAGAGTTGTTTGAGAGACAGAATGTTAAGGGGATCTTTTCAGTTTTAATTGGAAGTTTTTCAGGAATGTTAAAGGACAACCTACAATCTGGGCCAAAAGTATCACTTAATAACATCTGGGTCACCTTCCCAAGAGGAAACAGAATTGAAATTGAAAGTTTGCTTTTCTGGTACTCTTTCACACCAAAGCTTATCTGAGATTCTATTAACACATGAAGATTATCTTAACAAAACTACCCCACAATTGCACAGTAGTTTCTGAAAACAACCGATGTTACCTAACAATCTTGAATTATTAGCAAATCAGTAATTATCTCACCTTGCATATGAAGAATTGAAAGCATAGAAAAAACTGTTAAAAACTTATCTCAGATCATGTAACTTAGAGAGACTAAATTCCAGTCCTCTTAACTTTCAGAATTGAACATGGTTATAGGGTATGAAAGCACTTTGAGCAAAGAATAGGTTCTAAGTTCTAGAGATGTGAGATCTTGGCATGGGTTTGAATTGTTCTATTACTTGCTCAAAAAGGAAAATTGTTTCTGAATAAACTGCTGCTTGTAAGACAGCTTCAAAATTTAACATCTGCATTTGTTCCCATGAACATGTATTTCCATGTGGCCCAATCATGAACTGGCACATGTTCCTTATATTTACTTTATTTTGAACAAAAGGTTATATGCTACTTACAGTGGGTCTCAGTGAGCCAGCCTCACCTTTTATGAGGCTACACTGTCTGCACTC